TTTCATTTTATCCAGCTGTTCATTCATTAAGGAGACCGACGATGCGTTCTGTAAAGCATTTGAAAAGGACATACTCGGAACTACGCGCTCGAGGCTCTATAACATTCGTGAAGAATCTAATTAACACGCGAGTTCTTTCGGTTCAAATTATATTACTTTCGCTGGAGTATCGACAGGTCGTCGCTTTCATCGATTATAAAAACTTTCCTGTTGGCAGCGTCTATTTCTTCTCTTTAATCTTCGTTGCGCGCCGTAGGAAACTTCACGTTCGGTTCTGTTACTTACCAACTGTCGAGGACTGGAATTTCTGGAAACGTCACTCGGTTATTTTAATCCTCACAAGTTGTTATTTCGGACTTCCCAGCGTTTCATTTCGTTTGCTATCAACTTACCAGTCTCCCTTCAACTATACTTTCTCTTATCTAATTATTGCTGCAGACGTTTGTAATCTAAATCAATAAATTTTCTAAAGGATTACAAGAACGATACCATTGGAAGTATATATATCCTCGACTCGTCGAATTCTCGCGACCCGAAAAAGCTCAGTCGCGATACCGTTGGCATTAAAGGGTTCATAGGAATCAAGGAATTTCGATCGCCGATAGGGGGTCAAGGAGGCAGACAGAAATTATTAAATTTTCCATTAAACCGCTCGCGTCGTTGCCACGTCAGTACTTTTTTTTCGCAATTTTCCGTTCGGACGGATCTTAAGCCGAACCAGGCACTTTCGCGTTCTAAATATTTGAGCAGCCGGAGAGGGTTGAACGCAAGGACGAGCGCGGCGGCGGCGTCGAATAAATGTCCGCGGACTCGCCGGCGCGCATTTCGAACCCAATCGGCGTTTATTGCGATTCCCTTGGAGCTCGTAGGTTATCCTGGTAATTTGGTTCGCGCATCGAGGAATTTTACGGCAGACAGTCGCGGTTCCCGAAGATACGGCGCCAGGGAATTATTCAAAGAGCCCCATCTTGGCTCTTCCGGTCGGTATCTCGCAGTTTTCTTGCGCTTCGGATGATTTATGGAGCGCCGGTCTCGCGACGGTGTCACCAGTGAACTACCGCGGTCTTGTTGACCGAGACAAATTGTAATTAATATTAAAGGACAGTTACAGATCGCCACCCCTTCTCATTACAGAAGTCTCTCTCCTGGCTTCTCTGTGGCACTTAAAAGAGATGTATGACACCGTCCCAGGGGCGCGGGAAATGTTAAAAGCTGTTTCCGTCGGACGTACGAAAGATGACAGCGAATTTAGTGGTTCTAGTTGACGATTCACTCGAGTTCCGCGGAAGAATGTTGGAATGCGATGAAGAAAAAGACTTTACTTGATGTTTCGAAACCTTGAAGCTGCGAGGTGGAAGAGTATGCTAAGAATGTCCATAAGTGGCCGCCATTTTGAACATGGCGACTTTACGTGGACTTAGTAGGTCACGTAAAGCATTTGAAACTGTTTTTAATAGAAAGTATGAAAGGTGTTGAACAATTTCTTACATTATTCAAAGATTCACTAGAACTCTGTTCGTATATACAGGAAAGAGGTTAGTAGAACGTGTTTTCTTCGAATTCGAGAGTCTAAAATTATCGAGGTGAAGATATGTACGTAGCTGCGGGCGTTTTGGGGGCGGACGCCATTTTACGAAGATCACCGGAAGGAATTTCGTCGTAATTTAGATAGGAGCGACAGCCGGGGAGGACACTCGACTCGGTCGAGGCAAATCTTCGGTCGATCAACTTTTTCCTCGAAATTTAATCTCGACGTGGTCCGAGCGGCATGGCTTGTTGGCGGGCACGGGAGCCGAAGAAACTCCGGACGTCCTCGGAGCAGACAGCTGCGCCGGTCGGATACGTTTGCTTAAAGAGAACGGAATGAAAGTTTACCGGGCAGCAACCCCTGCTCCTACGGTCCCTAAATAAATTTGCTCTGATCCCCTGCCAAGTCTTAAGAATTGCTCGGAGCCCTTTACCCTCTGCAAACCCATTTTTTTCCCTCGCTTTTGTTCGTTCACGGCGTTACCCTCTTGTGTCCCGTTATCTACGAGGATCATCCTTTCCTCGAGACTGTCGCGATTGTTTCTCGTCTCGCGAGTCGGATTATCCGTTGGTTAGCGACTACGTCCGGCCATCTAATTCCTTCGAATGATGATTAGAGCGGACCGGGGCGCGAGGAATTGCAGGTAACCCGCCCGCCGTCGAGTCCAGTGAATCAAAATTCAATCTCGACCGAGGCACGGGCGGTTCGAAGGTTTTCAACAAGAAACTCTCGGAGAATCTTTTACGATCTCGCGCCGAGCCAATAAAAGACGCTAAAATTTCCACGAAGATTGCCGGGGGAAACTGTTTTCCCTGCGAGAGAGAGCCCGGCCAGCCGCCGTGCCGATAGTGCCGGAAATCCGATTGGGGATGGAGGCTTCTGACTTCGATAGGGTTAATCTTTCGATTTGTATCAATTAAATCCGCTTCGTTTGATTTAATGAAGGCTACCGAGCATCGATCGGTCTTGAAACGTGGCTGCTTGAGCTTGTTGAACTAATATCCCTTGTACATCTTTAAGGGCGGTTTCGTTAAAGCCGAGCTTTGCTCGCCGTAGGTCGCATGATTTTCTGGTTTTCGTTGATACACGGAGAGCATGCAAACTTTGAAAGGCTGCCGACGGAATAAAAGAAGCACACATGTTTCATTACTTTCAGGTTCTGAGCAAAGGCCAACTATCGTAATAAGAGAGAACTTGTGGTTTATCGGGCCAACGTGTAGCAGAACTTTTTTCATTATTTCCATATATAAAATCGACGCCGTAAAACGTCCCGCTTCCTTAGGAGCACTCTGTATAAATCTAACAAGGGAAGTTCAACAACTCTAGGACGACGGAAAAGTTCACTTCGCAGCCCTTAAGATGACTCATTGCAACAACTAAGGGAAGCCACGTTGTTGGCATCATCTGCTATACATTCCTGCGAAATAACGGGGTTTCTTCGAGCTTATGAATCGCTGAACTTCCCCTCGAGCGTCGAGTTACTCGTTTACTGCTATAAATCCAAAACTGCGAGGCAAACCCTACGAGTGTCCTCCATTTCGTATTCCATTTTGCACGCAGAATTTCAATATTCCATTACAAAGGGACGATCCGCGACGTCCTCTACAAAATTCGAAGCTCCCGAAGATTCCGGAATGAATACTCAATTCAAATACCAAGAGTAACGCAACTAATGAGGCAAAGCCGGCACGGTCCGGCCGCTTTAATTGCTTTCAGCCGATGTATATTGCGTATTCCCCTCCGGCATTACACCGGCCGGGATTATTATTAATTAATCGTATTCAACAGTCGTCCCGCCCCCGTTATACCTTGGTCGCCGTGCGACGAGGCGCCCCGTACGCGTAAACTTTCGTTTTTTATTTGAAAATCGAGCGTAACGCGCAACCGGCGCATCCCCCCGGGCGGCTCAAACTTCGTTTCATCTGGAAAATTCGTGCTCGTTATATTTCAGACGCGCGATCACGCGAACCACCGGCCGCCCGAGTGTCCCCCTGTTTTTTGTCGAGGCTTTTGCTTTTGTTCGACTCCACTTCGATCGGCACGATAAATAAGAGCGGGTCCGAATGCTCGCTGCCCCTTCGTCGACGCAACTGGAACGGCCACGGTTGGTCGCGTGTATTTTTTAGCAGGAAAAATGGAAACGGAGGGAAACATGCTAGCATCAACATCCGGGGCTCGATAAAATTGTATGGTACGTATGGTACATTAATTCAAAATTTAAGTACCTTCTTTAATTCACTGTTCCCCTACTGTGTTTTAAAAGCCGGAACAGCTTTCTCGATGTTATGTCCATTAAATTTTCGACGAAACTCTTTCTAGCAACATTGTCATTATTGTGCGCTGAATATTCATTTCATTGCACCCTGGGAGCACAGAGAACAAGGGAATAACAATAATACAAATTCGTGCAGGTAGAACGCCTCGTCCGGGGCTAAATCGAAATTGTAGAGTAAATGTTTTCGCTTCTACGAAATTGAGTTTGAATCTTTTACTGCCCTGGGAGCAGTCACTTTGTACGAAGCTCGATTAAATCTTTAAGGTTCCCGGCAATTCGAGGAGATCTCGGGCCGTCATTGTTTAACGTTCGACCGGCCTCTTCTGCGATTCAGCCGCGCTTCGAGGCAGATTAATTTCTGCCCCGGAACACAGCGCCGCTGAAGCTGCAACGGAATCCATTTGTTTCGCTCTTGAGTCCGTGTCTTGAATAACCGAGAAATATTTTTCCCCCGAACGAGCTCGGATCCACTGAATTCTCCGTTCGTTTAACGTGAATTCTCCGAAGCAGAATCCCCGCGGATAACGAACAACTTTTTCGCGGGGAATTAACAAGCCGTGGGATCATCGCGGCTTTCAGTCGCAGTGTTCGCGACCGGAACAAAATGGCGGATCTCGGCCAAAAATCCGGCGACCGCGGGATCAGCAGTTGAACGTAACACAGGACAGCACGCGCGGCGGGATACGAATCTCGTAACTGCATCTTTTTTTGCGCTCGTCCTCACTTCGGTTTTTGTTCGTCCCCGACGCTTGCTTTGCATACAACGACCCTATTAACGAGGGAAAACATGGGACATCCTGCTAACGACTCGCCCAGCAGTTTCTTCTAATTGTAATAAATTCCCTCGTGTTATCTGCCGCGCACGATCCCGGGCGCAGCTCGTTTCGCCGGAAAAAACTACAGCGAACTCGTAAAATCTTTCGGCGAACGGCACAGCCGTTTTTAGAGCTTAGACGATTCTCCCAGGATATTCGACGCGAGGAAGTTCCGCCGCCATTGCGGAAAATATATTTTTACCCAGGATAAAGTTTAAAGATTACGGTCTTTCGTGGAACACCGTATTTCGGCGGAACAGTTCGGAAAGTTTCCGTTCCATCGCGGCACGCGCTGCTCCGAGGTTTCAACGATACGCCGCGGTTGCCAGGTGTTCTCCGCTTGGAAGAAGAAGAGGCTTTGCACGCATATTAAAGAGCTTACCTTGAATTTTCAGTGGACGGGGGAGAACGGGGATGATGTGAATAACACTCCGAGTGAAAAGTTGCTCGCCGGCAACTGGCGGAGTTCAAGGAGAAACTTGATTCTTTCATGAGCTGGTCTACGATTTGTGCATCCCCCTTTGCGTCTGGCCTGCGGAGTCTGAAGTAGGTAACACTAGATCGCGAGCGTGGGTTTATCTTGCATTTATCTCTGTATCAAAGACTAAAGAGTTCGAGGATTCTTGTTCCCCGGTGTTGCTTTGCGCCTACAAACACTCACGAAACTTTCGAAACGTTGGATTAACCAAGCGTACTTCAGCCCATCTTTGATCGTCTGTTCAGTCGAACTGGGAAGATCAAAGTGGAATACGTTACTTACAATGTTAGCACTGAATTGCTCATAAACTCATCTTATATCTCTTTTCCTATAGAAACTTAAGGAGTCTAGAGATTCCTTCCTCGGTATAGCTTCCTCTTTAAGTTGCTATTCGAGTACTCGCGAAGTTCTCGAAACTGTTGGATTAAATGCAAACCGAGTCTCGATGTACTTCATCTCATCTTTGATCGCCTGTTCAGTCGAACTGCGAAGACCGAAGTCGATGTTGGAATATTAACGCAAGATTGTACACGTAAGCTCATCCTGTATTTCGTTTCTTATACAAGCTTGAGAGGTCTAGAGATTCTTGCTTCGCCAGCGTCGCTTCCTTTCCTCGAGTTCTCGCGAAGTATCCGAAACGGTCCGATTAAATGCAGACCGAGCCCCGGCGCACCTACTTCGAGCCACCTTTAATCATCGTTCCTTCAACCGAACTGTAAAGGGGATGACCACAAGGAATCTCTACGTGGTTGCTAAGTCCCTCGTCCAGGACTCGTCGAGAAGAGGATCCCGAGGCCACGATTATCCGTCCGCAGGACACGGCTGAGATAAGAGATAACGAGCGTTGGCCGCTCGGCGGCTCGAGCATACTGCTCGACGCAGTTAGCATTTGCATAGCCGGCACTCGGTCTACAGAATTCCCACTGTGACGCCGCCAAAGGCGAGCTATTACCATTTGCGACGGGCATTCATACCTAAATCGCGAACGTATCCCTCGAGTGGGATCTTCGTTAAGTCGCGGGGCAAGTCGGGAATTCTTCAGCGGCGCGATTATTTTATTCATGGACATTGTACAGCCTTGTAATCCAATGTTTAGAAAGATCTACCATATTTCGAGCTTCTTTTGTAACTTTAGAATGAGAACGATCGAATTAATTACCTTGGGATCGATAAAATAGATCTTCTCTTACAGAGTCTGATACAATACGGAGCTGTACCACTTGCATCAGGTTCCGTTTTCAATTTAACCCTTTACTCGGAAGTTCTTCACTGATATTCGAACATTTTCCGATGAGATAAAGATAATATTTTGTGAAACCCGAAGAGAAATCGTACGTACATTGAGGAGCAATTTATTTCAATATTTCTCGAATCGATGCATTATATAAAGTATAATATTAAATATCAAATTTTATAGTTTTACTGTGTGAAATCAAACGGTGAGTGAGTTAATTCTCGATCGACCATTGACACTTTTGCAATCTGGGAGCTAATTTGTTTTTTATCGAGTTTCCGAGGTACGATCTCGAGAATTGATTGTCATTGTGAGAGATAGGTGGTCGATGTTTAGAACACTCAAGCTAGAGAGCTAAGGTTACCGATAAATATCGGTCTGCGCTCGTCGATTAAGCCGCGCCGAGGTATTACGAAATAATTTGCATGCTGCGGGTTCGTTGACACTAACTTAAAACGAGCAAACCCTGTCCACTTCGGAAGTGTTCAGCGCGCTGTGAAATTGGCTTCGCAACTTTCGCAGGTGAGTTATAACTCCGTTAACCCGCAGAAGTTTTCTCCCGTTAGTTGGACGCGTCTTGCCGCTTCGACGCGGCCCGGCTTCCCCCAGTAGATCCGCTTTCTCGGTTTTCGGGCTAGGTAAATGCCTCCTTTGATCGCGTTAAACGCCCCGGATCCTTTGTGTCTAAATATTTAACCCTCTTAGACCTCCACGGGCGAACAACACTCGCTCGTTCCTTTGAACGGACGATTTTCTGTTCTTAAAACTGGCCGCTGTCGACCTTCGAAGGAACAGAATTCAAAATTACGAAATTCACGAACCTTTTGAAAATTGAATTTTAACCCCTTGCCGTGCAATGACGAGTGAGACTCGCGATGAAGATTTCTAGCAACAACTATTTTCCTATTACCAGTGTATCATCTTCAAACGAAACTTCCGCTTGAAGTACAATTGGCAATTTTGTTGGATTTCTTCCAAATTGTTGATAGCAAACTGTTACACGAGCTTAGCGACAGTAAATAGCACGCCAAGGGGTTAACGTGAAAAATTTGTGACCCTTCCCGCCGATTATGCACGGAATTTCTATGAAAGGGACTGAAATTCGGTTACAACCGAATTATAAATTAATTTTCGTAATCGGAGAGGAAGAACGAAACGCTTTTGTTGTGTTTACCAGTTTCAGCTTTAGACGCGAGGCAATCGATTGTCGGCAACGCTTCATCGAAACTAATTCGCGAATTGGAACGACCGAGCATTTGGCCTGTTTATCATAACATGTCGGGGACCGTGCAGAAAATCGAACGCAACGCAATTTACGAAGATATTGTCCGCGCATTAATGTCAATCGGATTATTGACTGCGGCGAACAGTTGGGCGGTCGGTTCTTTCGCAGCTCATCGACGTTTTCATAAATTGTTCTCCCAGCTATTTCCATCGTTTCTAGCGGAACACGCCCGGAGAGCGTGCCGCTATTAATGCGCGTTAATTGTTGCTGTAATTTCATTTCGCCGGTCACACGCGCGCTTGCGTAATATTAATTTCGCGACGACAAAGACAAGATTGCGCCGTTGTAATCCCTCTCGCGGACATAATGTCGGCAGCTCCCATTCAGCGATTCCGCGGCGCGTTTCTATCGTAGCATTGTTTCGCGATCTTCGGCTAAGTGCGCCGTCTTCTCCGAAGTTCCACTCGGATTGCGACTATACCGTGAACGTTTACGTTCGGTCGCCGTTCTCGGGGATAATTCCAGTCGATAGTGGATCCGGATTGCTTGAATGCTGTCACCGGAGGGATGTTAATATGTTAAAAATAAAGGGGAATATCGTGGAACATTGTTAATATTTCTGGTACTCGATCTAAACTCAACGATTCATTTTACATTTATTATTGGAAAAATAAAGGAAAATATTGTGAAACATTGTTAACACCTCTGCTTCTCAATTGAAACTCAAAGATCTATATTGTATTTAACACATTTAGTTTATCACAATGGACACGAAACGATTTATGGCGAAAAGGAGAACGAAAGAACTTTAAGTCACCGTGTAAAACAGTCGAAAAACAATTGAGAACAATGAATAATAAGAATTCTACAGTAATAGCACACAATGGCGAGTCACAATTTTTATAGATTGACGTGCAGGGAAATGTTTGTTCCAATAAAAGCCAACAATCCAAGAACCACGTGCATTCGGTCTCGTGCAAAATGCAAAGGACTCGGTTCTCTTCGTTAGCTAAATGGCTCATTAGTCGAAAAGGTACTTTCGCATACGCCATTTTTCCCCGTGCGCAAAGGTGCATTGATATGCAGAGTTGAGAAATGGAAAAGCGGGGAACACACAGACGTCCCCGCGTTGTGTGCACCGTCGCGCCGTTGCAGAGAACCATTTACGTTCTTTTTTCCGTCTTCAACGTGAGAGCAGGTCGTTGTCTACGCGGCGTGGTTTTGTCCATTATTTCCACTTGCCAGGACAATATTAACGAAGAGGCACGAATTAGTATACAACGCCCCGCTCGCGGAGCGGCTCATTCCGTTAATCAACGGCGGAACCGTGAATATTTCATTTGCTACGATATTCAAATTCCTATTTGTTCTTTTACACGGTCACGGCTAATCCAAGATCGCATCGATTGAGACCGTTCTTTCAGGAAGATCGAAATTAATCGACTTCCGTGCCATTTTCTAAAATATTCAACAGGATTGTACGTTACATTTAATCGATGCAACGAACCTCGATTCATTTTCATCGCGATGTCTCTTTCGCTTTGATAAAGAATGTTACTTTTCACTGTGGAATATTGATAATCCTCGAAACTTCATTCATTAGCCTCCATTCGCTTGTAAGTGTCAAGACACGAATGATATTTGCTGTACTTCGTTTAAACATGAAATTTCGGCGAATCTCTGGAATCTTTCGGAAATACGCTTATCTTACTAACTCAATTTATTCTACAGTACCAAAACTGGTTAACTAGGATGATTTTAAAGTAACTAGCGAGGTCTTCAACCTGTCATTTTCTTTTCTACAAACGAACGATCCCGCGGAGCGTGAAACGATGTCGTACACTTTGCTCAGTTATTTACGGAAAACCTTCTTTCTCCTCGCTGCGCTCGTATGAAGAAGAATACGCGAAGGGTAGCGATAAATGGTGAAAAGTAGAATGCATTTTCCCCAACAGAAAAGTTCTCTTTCCCGCGGGGAATAAGGGCGTACGCGGGCGCGCGTGCTCGGGGCGGGCCGCAGCTTTCAAAATTACGACGTGCTCGCGAGGCTCCTCGTATATTTTCATTTCGAAGAAAATTCGTCAGAGAGCTCGCGATAGTTTCGTAATTGTTGATACGTTCTCGTTACCGTCTGTCGGGAGATAATAACTTCTGTTCGATCCAGAAAATGCCGCTGGCCGGGCAACTCGTTAACGATATTTTTGGCTTAACACCGAACGCTTCCACGTTGCGAAGGTACCCAATTCCAAAACTTCAACGCGTTCAACAATATTGAAAAATGCAGTGTTACACTCAGTTTCCCATCGTAACAGATATTTAGTATGGAACCGACGAGTCTCCATTTTTTTGGAACAATACGCCGCATAAAAATGCAAAAATATTCTCGCAGGGGATGAAAAATGCAACGCGCGTCCGCGATCGGAAAAATGGGAAATCAGTCGATATCCGAAGGAAGACACGTATCTGCCTTGTTCTAATTTGATCGGGCCGGCGTCACGATACGTCAAAAGTCGACAGCGAAGGAAAACGAATGATAAATAAGAGCTATCGGTGATATCGATTCCGCGTGTGTCACGGTCGAATGAAACGCGCGGGTTGTCGACACGCCGGTGTGTTGGAAAAATTGTTCTTGCGTTAACGCGCCGGAGCCGGTACATCGGCGGAGCCGGCAGGATACCATTCGCCGTCGATGTCCATAACATCGACAATCGGATTATAATGGTATCGGTGATTCTGCGCTCGGTCGCGTCGATATATTCGATAACCGGGAGAGGATTTTCCTTGTTCCGCTTGTTCTACACGGTCCCCGGGCCTATTAGCCCTTCACAAACTTGTTTAAGCTCCGATTCGATGTTTAAACATCCGGTAATTTTAATTAAAAATTTCGGATTACAACCGTGGTATTTACCATCGAGTTTACGGATCGTTAAGTCGCAAAATGGATTTCTGGTTGCGTACTGTTTGAATTATTTAGCTTGTAGTTTGGAATATTTTCCACCTTGTCGTCTTTGCATTAGTTAAAATTGAAGCTCTAGAATTTTGTATGTTTCTAATTTATTAGTACTTGAATGCTTGATGCATTGAATCTTTGAAATCCTCGTCTTGAATTTAAATTTTGAACATTGGAATTTTCAATGTGTTCACTGGTGAATCTTTGAATCGTGGTTACTGAACGTTTAAAGTTTCGAATCGTTGAATTCTTGATTTTTACGAACTCCGAACACGGCAATGTTCGAAATTTCGATTTCCGGAACGCTGGAGTGAAACGTGACCCTTGGTCCGAGAATTTTGAATCTCGGGACGCCTTAAAACTTCTGTCATTTAAGTTTCTGGCGTCTGAATCTGCCGGGCTTTGAATCCCTCACCCTTGAGGTCGCGAGGCTCGGAAGCTGG